GGCGTCCCTGGGCACGCTGGGGAGATGCAGCCACCACCTCCCAGCCTGTGCCCGCCCTGAGAGCACAGGAGCACTGGCAGGAACAGCGATGCATGCCCTGAACACCGTCCTTCCACGTCTTTGGTGTGACAGCAAATGCCTCTCCTTACCGGGAATACTGCAGAGCCCCGAGGGACCCTGCTGGTGTGCTTGTACCTCCTGGTCCACGCAGGACCACCCACAGAGGGAGGCGAGGACAGCGCGGGTGGCCAGCCGATGGCACCGTCTGCACGTTGCAGGTGTATTTGCTATCGTCCCACAAGACCTCATCTCCCTCCATCCTGGCTGACAAGCATCACCCACTCCTGGGGATCCCCTCCACCGCCCGGCTGCTGCGATGACTGCTCTTCCTAAAGCTTGTTTTCCATCAGATAGCAAATACTCTTCCTTTTGCTCATCTGTGCTGTCATGTTGACAGTATTTAATAGGCTATGATCATATCTGTGCTTGGTTCTCCTCTCCGTCTCTCACCATGCACCTTATCGGTTCTACTTATCATTTTAATGCACTTCTTGGTATTTTTCCTGGGGCTTCTTCAAGCACCATTCCTTACCTCTGAGGATGCAAACATATTTCATAGCTACGCTAAATCTCAGCTGTAGGAAAAGCTTCACTGTTTACCTGCAATACAACCCTTGTCAAACTCTGATCTTCTTATATCTAATCAGCTTACCCAACCAGGCTGGCGCTCAGACGAGAAACCTGCCTGGAAACCTTTGCAGAATTCAGTCATGGCAAGAGTTCAGCACGGATGGAAGCCTGGGACAGGGAAAACAAGACCCAGGCAGCAGGCTCCAGTGATCTCATTTCGAAATGAATTCAATCTGATGTCATTCTGAAACGTGAACTCCTTCGCTCCACGTCGTTCTGCTGCACACAACCATGTCATGGATTTCAACAGTTCCTGCAATTCACTTCAGATACCCCCTGCCCTGACCCAACAGGGAAAATTCTTTATGAAAACATTGTGTGAAACCAGGTTCAGATCCCTGCGTGTAAAGCAGGGGGTGATTTGCACCTACTCCCTTCGCAACGAGAGATTTAAAGCCGTTTTGAAACCTGCTTGTGTGCAAGTCCACTACCACGCTATGCACAGCCCAGCAGCCCCTCCAGCCCCGGCCTTCATCTCTTCTGGAGGGAACTGGGAAGGAAACTGGTACTTCTGCTGTCTGCTGCCCCTCCGGCCTCACCACTCACCTGGTAAGGAGGGAATGCACTTGGACCAGGAGGCAATGCACCTGGACTGGGGCTTTTCACGCTGGCAGCGTCAGCTTGACATTAACTTTTACGTTTTATACATAAATCAGTTTGAACGGCTTTCTTAGCAACTGGATCGAATTGCACTCATTCCCTGGAAATTATCGCAAGACGTTCTCACTCACCACCCGAGGCTCCCCGCTTGTGGGGCAGTTTCCTTCTGCACCACGCAGGCCCTTCTCCCCATCTATGAGATGTCTGCTGAATCGGACCCCCCGACCCCCCGGAGCTCCCCGTCCTTCAGCTCCGCTCCCCTGCAGCCTTCGCGCCGATGCCCCAGCACCTCTGGCCCTGCTCCATGTAGAAACTCACATCAAGGCTGTCAATGGCTGCACCAAATAACCCTTGGTTCTTTGTACAAAGTAGATCATACCCTCTCTAAAACCTGGATTAATGCTGTTCTTCAGCTGGTCTTACTGTTAACAACTGTTCCCTGCCAGAAAACTAGTTTCTAAACCATGATAGTTTTACTTAAATGGGAAGCAATGTGTTTTCTTTATGTTTATGCACGGCACCACACCAGTTGGCTTTCTGAAATCCAAGTGTACGATATCTAATTGCATAACCTTTAGCTGTTGCATCAGTAAGTACGGCAAAGGCGGCTACTGAATTGGCTGGCTTGACCTTACGGGCTGCAATGGCTTTGACTCTAGCCATGACTAACCAGACGCATTCGTAGTCTGGATTTCTTGTTCTCTGTGGATCAGCAAAATGACTCACAAATGTCTCCTGGCCACTTCCAGCCCTTACGACTATGGGCTTCACACATAGCAGCAT